CTCCAGCTTATTCATCCTGATTGCAAATGGAGCAGGATAGTGGACATCTCCCTTTAATTCAACTCTCTATTCCCTTTTTTTCCCCCACTTCCCAAATTGAGAGAGAGAAGAAAGACAAGCTCAAAACAGTTCGGGAACAAAATGATCCAGTTTTAAAGAAGATAAAAATCACTGCTCTGCTGGATCAAAACAAAATTTCAAAGTGACCCTGGCCTTAGGTTCTCCCCCCGCCCCCCTTGACTGTGGGGATCCTCTGGATGGAACAGTGTTTGCAATTTTTGTCTATTATGCATCTGTCAAGAAAATGGTCAGTGACTGATTTTAAAAGAAAAAAGAACTAAACAGGATTAAAGGCGGCATCTTAACCATTGTACGGCATTCAGATCTGAGGATCGTATCACTACCTTCTTTCTTCTTAAAATTATAATTCCTAAACAAAAACTAAACTGACCGATAAAATGGATCAAAAATAATTTCTTACTCGTTTCTTACAAAATAATATTACTGTTATTGAAATTCCTCCCTTTGTCCAATATGCTGCCTTCCATCTGTATAGGGCTATTATTATGGTTTCAGGATCCAGCCTGGGTAATAATATTGTGCCCTCCGAGCCATTATAATTTGAAGCCTGGGGAGTTGCATCAATGCGTTGGAAGGCACTAGGTCAGTGATGCCGAATCTATGGCATGCGTGCTCGAAGTGGCACATGGAGCCATGTTGCCTGGCATGCGCAGCGTCACCTGTTCCTCTTCTGGGTTTCTAGCATGCATGCGCACATACTGATTGGCTGGCCTTTGTCCTTGCGGCAGTGCCAGAAAAGCTAGTTTTCCATTTTCCAGCATGAGCATGTGTGGCAGCCAGCTGATTGGCATGTGAGCATGCGTGGCAGTAACTGGAAGACTTGCTGGCTGGCATGCATCTTCGCACCAGAAACCAAAAGTATATTTTCCAGTGCACACATGCCCTCTGGGCAGCTCCTCTTCCTGGTCGCGGCCCAGATAAGCACACACGCGAAGTACTCCCTTTTAGGCTCTTGGTGCCGAAAAGGTTCACCATCTCTGCACTAGGTTGAAGAAGGATACATAATATTGGCATTTCCACGTGGAAACCACCTTTACCAAGTCTATCGAAAGCATTTTTGCAAACCGGTGTGTGAGTGTCTTCCTTCCCGTTGACTTCAAAATGCTGTCAACAAATAGGGACTATCATGAGCCAGTCAGTGAATCCTCCAACTTATCAGTGAGACAATGCAAAAATCATAACATGGTTGATGACTCTCCCACTAAGCAACAATAGCTCCCGAAATAATAATGTGTTCAATTAGTGACCACTTGAAATTATGACATATTTTGAAAGTGGAACTTAAGGCCCAGATTCGGAGTGCTAATATCTGCAAGTTTTCTTTCCCTGCCCTGGTCAGGTGACCATGTTTTTGCAGTGCCTCACAGTCATATGACTGCAATTTATGACATTTTTGCTGGAGACCAACGATTGCTTCCAGTTTTTGGCAAAAACTGCCCCATAGCGAATAATGGATTAGCTTAATGACTGTGGCATCCATTTTATGTCCACTTTACAATTGCTGCAAAAATGGTTGCAAAATTGGGCTTCTTCCCATAATGACCCATTTTATGATTGTTGTGACTTAACAATTGAAATTGTAAGCTCAGTTATAGCCGTAAATTGAGGATTGCCTGAAAAAGGCCCTTCAAACCTACCCAATGTTGGAGAAGTGAATTGATAAAACTCTACTCAACAAAGTCCTCCTTGAGTTTTCAGCATATGCTCGGCGTTCTGTCCCAAGACTCTACAATATATATGGATGCAGACTTGGCTGTCTGCCACAACTAAGGAGGGAGATAAGCAACCCCTTGGCTGGGAGNGTGTGTATTAATGAAATTGTTTTCATATTAAGTAAAGATATTTAACAGTTTGTCTTTTTAGCATCTCTTTGACATTTTGTGAAATTGCAAGCTAGGTAGCTCTCTACAATGTTCACTTGCACTCAAAAACAAATTTAACTGCTTGAAATATTTAGCTTTAGGCAAGCTACCAGTTTGTGGCTCAGGGCCCTAAATACACACTTTTTGATGAAGTAGCAGAGACATGTTTGCATTTTCTTTGGGAACAGATAATAGGAGGATTGCAAATATTTTGAAATAAGTTCCTTAAGCCCTGTGAGGATTTGGTCTCTCCAGCTGGGAACGTAATGCCTTTATATTAAGTCTAGCAGATAATTCCTAAACAAATCCTGAACACCTATTGGCAAAGAAGACTCAGTTATGTCCTATAATCCAAACTGATTTTTATTTCCATACATATAAATTTTATCTATTGCATTTAAGAACAGTACTTTAATCTTAGGAATTTCCCCCTTGCATCATTAGGACATCTTAAGCATCCTCAGTGTTTATGGTCTTTGCTCATTTGGCTTGCCAAGTGTTTATCTTCCAAATATGAGTGATATTTATGATGTCTACATGATTATATAAAACTCTGCTTCAGGCAATTTTCTTGCCCTAATATCCTACACTTAGCACTGAAATACATGAAATGCATCAATGTTCAAACACTAAAGTCTAATTACTGTGAAATAACTGCAGCCCAGGGAGCTTCGTTTTACAGTGTTTTTCTCTTTAAATATTCATAAGCATTTTTTTTAAAGAAAAAAGTCACAGCTGTATAAATATAGAAGTTGGGGACAGATGGGATGATTAAGACTCCATTCAAAAGGTTTACTGGTAATAAATATAGCAGAAGCAGTCATAATATTTTAAAAGCAAATACTTATTTAGTCATGCCACTGAAAGTATTTTAAGAAATCGGTGATGTATGTTTCCTATTCAAGAAATCCACTTCTTTGGAAGTTAAATGTGGTCTTGTGGGATTGTGGCAGAGTACAAATGGAATGAATGAATGAATGAATGAATGAATGAATGAATGAATGAGATTAAGTCCTTATAGGTATAGGTCATTATGTTGTAGAGATGGTGCTTAGATCTGCAATGCCAGCCTCTGTGACATGCATAATGATATTCAAATATAATTCATGCCAGTGTCATCGTGATTTATATAATATAGAATATGCAATTCTTGTCATTTGTGTAATGAATTCTTGGGTGCACAAACAAATCGTTCTCAGATTAGGACAAAAATTGGAGCTGAGATTGATGTCAACTAATCGTAAAGTAGGATATCATATGATTGCTTAACTTAGCAATAGCAAACCTGGGTACCAGTAGTTGCTGCCCTAACTCCAAGTTGGTTGCTGCCCTAACTCCAAGTTGGTTCGGATATTTGGAATATTCACTAAGGTTTGGGAAGCGCTGCTATAGTGGGTATCTATGTAGATGCAGTTGAAATAATTGTGCTGGCTGCAATTGTTTTTAAATAACCATGATACTAT